CAAGCAGTAGTGCTGAGCAAAGTGACTAGAACGCAACCACACACTTGTAAAAAAAAAAAAACACACTTTATAAAGTCAGGCAACACTAACCAGGCTTCTTGTGATTCTGTTTATTTGTACCTTACTTTGACCATCCGTTCGCTGTTATTGATCATTGTGGAGAGCAGGCAGACGTTTTGTTTAGTATTATAGCATGCTATCGGATGGAATCAATACATGGGCTGCACAGGTTGTCATGTCCGACTATCACAAGTAGAATCATAATGAAAAATACGCCGGTAAAATGTGCCTGTAGAAAACGGCTTATGCCACAATAGGATAGCAACAAGTAGTCAAGTTATAGTCAGTTTAGCTTCGGTTGCTATGCTAACATCACCCATTTTATTCCAGAGAAACTTTCATAACAGCGTTGTGATGCCAAACAGCGTCAATTCAGACCGACACACATTCACTTATGGGGAATTGGGGATATGTATCAGCTGCTTGTGTGACAGTCGGACAGTGAATACTTTACAGCGGCCGCTGCAGCAGTCGGTAAATGCCGCTGTAACACATTAATAAACAATGAACCAAGGCACTCTGGAGAAAAGTATAAGGTTGGAGAAGTCGTTATTTAATTTAATCTGGCTTCGTATGATTAAAAGCAACACGATCATCGACCCGACGCAGTCCCCCATTGTTGTTGTAGTTAGCGCCGTTGGGGAGAAAATCAGCGACGTAAACGGTAGGCCTGTCGCGATAATCGATAAATTGACTTATCGTACGATAAATAAAAATGGACTAGATAACTTTTCTGAGCTCGATAAATTGCCGTTTACATAAGGATGTGACTAGCATTTTAGCTAGGAGCGCTGTGGCTGCCAGGCGCGCTGTGGCTGCGCGCTGTGGCTGCCAGCTGTGAGGGGCGGGGCTGACACACAGCCAGGTCAGGACACTCCGCGTGCACGTGCAGCAGCCAAATTAATAATACAGCGACAAGCGGGAGACAACGTGTGACTTACTCGCGGGGAATTTTAAAGTGAAATGGAATTGGTTACAAAACCTAACTACACATCTCGATTCTCCGGTGTAGCAGTATTTTGGATTCAAGCCAAATCAACGAGGCGAGCCTACGGACTTGAATGAGCCGGGCGGTGTGTCGCATTTGTTTAAAAAAGGTAGCGACAAAAGCAGGCAATACCATGCAATACTACACCTAAAACACAACCACCCCATTCCGTTTTCCCAGCTGGGAGCAAACACGGCAGCTGGAGATGGAGAGCCCCCACCTTCCCGACAGTTTACAATCAAAGATGCATTTGCCTGACAATGCAAACATGTTGGTGTTCCTTGCTCGAAAACTTTGAAAAACAGATTTGCCTGTTGAGGCATCAGGGTCTTTGTATGGACAGTGGACTGTACACTTTACTGTTGTTTTAAGGAGGCTTTGCTTGTGAGACAATGTGTGCTCATATTTATTTATATATAGATAGATAGATATAGAGAGAGAGCTCTGTTTTCCAGCCTGAGTCTATTTAAAGGGGACCTATCATGCAAAATGCACTTTTGTACGTCTTTTATACATGAATATGTGTCCACGGTGTTCCAGGGAACTCACCAAGTGTCAGAAAACACAACCCTCTCTATTTTCCTCCATACCCAAATCTCTAAAAAAGGGGCTGCAACGTATCTGATCAAAACTGATCCAGATTTGAACACTTCAATGACGTCACAGAAGTGGCGCTACGGCTATTGGGAAAACTCCACCAATCAGGAGGAGACAGCCACGGCTATTGCCGTTCGAAAGCGCTGGAGACGATGTAGTACATATGCCAGGCCTGTAGGTGGTGCTGTTCTCACAGAATCAGCCCTTGCAAAAACAGGGGTAAAAAAGTGCAATTTGAGCGAAATGAGGAATGGCTAAAATGCATGATCTGTTTGGTATTTTGAAAAAAAAAAAGTATAAATATGCCTTATATAGGTATGGTCCTACACTATATTATTATAATATAGCATGATAGATCCACTTTAAATATAGCATGATAGGTCCACTTTAAGTGGATGGACACACGGGAAGTGTCTGTGTGCTCCACAATCCATCCGGCTTTTTCAGGTGAGGCAGTCCAGAGGAAAGAGAAGGGTGAAGATGGACACTGGGCAGTGAAGGACATTCCGTGCCCCACCCCCATCATTGCCTACAACAAAAACATTGGTGGTTTTGACCTGTCTGACCAACTGATTCAGTACTACTCCACCCACCTCAAAGCAGCTCGCTGGTATCGGACCCTCTTCATGCTCTTTGTAGACATCGCCACAACCAATTCTTACATCCTGCACTGTGACGTCAGCAACACACAGCAGGTTCCCCACATGACACACAAAAAGCAGGTTCAGCACATGACACACACAAATTCATGGCTGAACTGGTGTCCCAGCTGTGTGGAGTAGACAAGACAGGACTGCCCATCAACAGGAGCGCTCCTCATGTTCCTGTTGCCATCACCGTGGCAACAGATGCTGGTGAAATGGCCACACAAGGACGCAAGACTTGCCAACACTGCCATGAAGTGCAAGGCCTGTGATGTAGCCCTCTGTGTCATAGCTGACAGAAAGTTTTGAAAAATGCCGCAGATATATTTGTATCAAGTCAATCAAACTTTTGCCTTATCAGAATGACATCCCATGTTTATTTTTTAAGCTTTTTTAAAGCTTTTAAATGATTTGTTGTGCCCTCTGTGTCATTGTATATATATATATATATATATATATATATATATATAGTCAATATATAAGTTGTTTGTGTGATTGTTGGTCCAAAATGTTCATATAGTCAAAATAAAAAAATAACTATCAGTTTATATAGGTGAGGTTGTCCTAAAAAAGAAAAGAAAAACATTGACATGCTAAACGTTTCCTAATGGGGTTTAGTAATACAAATCAAACGTTTGCAAAACGGCCATATTAGCCCCCGGACTGCAAAGGGTTAATGAACGTGACATTTACCAGCAGCAAACTGGTAAAACATTAAAAAATACAAATTCATTCTAATTTGAAATGTTCTGGTTAAGACATAGCATCATGAGCTCATGTTAATGAGTCAAGCTTTCAAAGATATTAAACCACGTTGTTCTTAGCTTGCATGAAGCAATCACATTAGCATCGTGGTCATTAGCGTTAGCTAGCTAGCATGAAGAAAGGTAACATTACCGGTGTTGTCTTCATTCCAGAATTCGGCATACGTCCTTCACTCAAATAACCAGGCGAAAATGATTATGAACACAGCTTGCTGCAAAATAATACTAAAGTACACCGACTAATGCCAACTTCGAAAGTTGACCCGCACTTCCCATTAGCTAAAGGCACTGCTCGCACGCTCCCAGCGTCCCCCAAAATGACACATGACCAGAGGTGCGTTCAGGTACTGTACGTGTACTGGCGTTAAATGTTCTTATAACAAAGTATTAATTAAATCACTTGGGATACTGTCTATCGTTTATTTAAAAAAAAAATCAAATAAACTGAAAGTCAGGTATTAATTCACCTGCCTTATGTTATTGTTGTGCCACCCTCCCACTTTGTCACTGTCCAGATATGCTAATTTCAGATTTAATTAAAAATGCATAGAATGAAAACAGTGACTCACTGTTAACAAGGACAGTTAAACAACACATAACAAAAAATGTGTTTGTTTATTTGTACAAGGGATTTAAAATTGTTTGGAAATTATTCAAAAATAATTAAGCAAGAGTTCAGGAGTAGAACTTCGATTTTAAAGACACATTTTTTACTCAAGAAGAAAAACTATTTTAAATTGAATGAGGATTTTTTTAACTGGATATATAAGGCTTTTCATTTGTATGCACAGTTTATAAGTGCGGAAAAATGTATCGAGATTGTAACACCATTGGCTGGCACAACTACTCTACTTTTATTCTTAAATATGACGGACTTAAACTTTGTAAAAGAGAACTTACAACTTTCTTTCTCCACGTTCTTCTAAATAAAGCTGATTCAGTTTTTTTTAGAATAGCCTTTTACTAGATCTTTAAAACCCCCACTTGTTGCCGTGCCGGCCTAAACGTCACTGTTTTTATTCTGTTGTTTATTTTATTATATATATATTTTTGTTTTTGTTTTGTTTCAACCATTTTACTCTGTAGCACTTTGAGTTTTGTTTACTCAAATGAAAAGTGCGCTTATAAATAGAATGTATTATTATTATTATTATTATTATTATTATTATTATTATTATTATTATTATTATTATTATTATTATTATTATTATTATTATTATTATAAATCCACTGCTCGAAATCATCTTCATTATGCCAGAAATTATGCTGCAGAACTGAAACGACAATAACCAGGAGAGATGTTTATGTTTAGTCAATGTTGTAATTATGTTGTAGCTATTGCTAAAACAGGTTGGCGTTTTTTACAGCTCTGTCATGCATTGCCTATATTTTGTGGATTACATGTTACAATGTCATTATGTCATAGTGAATCAGTTACTTTATATGTTTGATGTCTGGATGTCATAGATATATTACAGTGAAACTATTATTTGCGGTGGTGGTGGATAGTAACAAAGTACATTTACTGAAGTACAGTAGGCCTACTCAAGCAACATTTTGAGGTACTTGTATTACCTAAATATTCTCAGTTTATGCTCGTTTTTACTTTTACTCAACTACATTTTAGAAGCCAATATTGTACTTTTTCATTCATTTGACAGCTTTAAGTTACATGTTTCATTTTAGATTAAAATTATTAGCTAATACAAATGAATAATTGAATTTATGTACTTATACTTAATAAACATTTGAATGAAGGTCTTTTATTTGCAACAAAGTATTTTTACAATTAAGAACTGCTACTTTTGCTTAAATATACAATCTGAGTAATTCTTCCACCTCTGTTTATTTGCTTTGATAGTGTTCTTTGGGTCCCACTTTAACCATAGGTTATAAAAGTCCAATAATCACGTGATACAGGCGCTACAGTATGGTTGTCATGGAAACTAGCTCCTCATCAAACAGCGTCCGGGCTCGCGACTGCAACAAGCGACACCGTGAAAGGAATCGCGGATATATATTCTGTAATTTCATTTGGGGTGAGTACAACAAACTCACAGTCTTCGTGAATTGAACCACAGTTTAACAGAGAGACATTTTGAGAAAGAAAAGGCGACATATGTGAAATAAAATGTAATGGAGTTGGTTGTATCTCCCCATCGCTGCTATTGTCACGGTGAGCTAACAAACGTGAATCCTGTCCAGGACCTTCAAAATAAAAAGGCTTGTTTGAGATGAGGGTTTCTATTAAAATCATTATGATGATGGGCTTCTGACAGACAAACTCGCAGTATTTACACTTTATCTAATTTACAATCAGCACCTTCAACTATTTATATCCAAAAAATGCTTTCACAAAGTGAGTTGTTTCACTTTGAAATAGCAACAAGGTGGGTCTGTGCGGTGGGATTCCTGAAGTTTTATTAATGAGAATGACCAACAATTTATGAAGGTACTGAGTGCACTTTTAGTTTTGAAAGTATTTATTTGTTTACTTGTTTGTTGTTTGTTGTGATGTTCAATATGTTATGGTGTTTTAATTAGAATAAATTATATAAATGTTCCCAATAAGTGACTTTTTGTATACATTTCTCAAATTAAGTGTTGAAGGTTAAGGCATAACGGTTTTATTCTAATTAGATTATCCTATTAGGTGAAATGTGTTTCTGTTGCTCCCAGCGTGCATATCGGGTGCAACCTGGCCTGTCGTAAAAAGCACCCCCCCCAAAAGATGCTTCTATTAATCCCACCCTCAAGCATTTTTGAGGGTATAGTTGTAGTACTAGTACCAATAAATGGAGCAAATTTCATGTATGTGACCCTTTTATTATGTAAAATAGCAAGAGGGTGCATATCGTGATAACCAGGCCTGCCGTAAAAAGCACCCCCCCCAAAAAGATGCTTCTATTAATCCCACCCTCAAGCATTTTTTAGGGTATAGTTGTAGGACTAGTACCAATAAATGGAGCAAATTTCATGTATGTGACCCTTTTATTATGTAAGATAGCAAGGGGGTGCATATCCTGGCAACCAGGCCTGTCGTAAAAAGCATCCCCCCCAAAAAGATGCTTCTATTAATCCCACCCTAACCCATTTTTGAGGGTATAGTTGTAGTACTAGTACCAATAAATGGAGCAAGTTTGATGTATGTGCCCCTTTTATTATGTAAGATAGCAAGGGGTGCATATCGTGATAACCAGGCCTGTCGTAAAAAGTACCCCCCCCCAAAAAGTTGCTTCTATTAATCCCACCCTCAAGCATTTTTGAGGGTATAGGTGTAGGACTAGTACCAATAAATGGAGCAAGTATCATGTATGTGACCCTTTTATTATGTAAGATAGCAAGGGGTGCATGACGTGGCAAAAATATGCTGACAAAGACTATGGGTGTTTCTCAATGTCGAGGACGCTTGCTTGGTAGCACATGTCTTCCGAGTCACTTGCTTCAGAAGCGAGGCAAGAATCCTTAAAGCCTCGGAAAACAAGGAATTGTGGAACAGGCTAACAGGTGTGCAGGTGTGCGTCATATGCGAGGCCCCGCCTTAAATGGAGCGCTATTTCCGCCAAAGATTTGGAAATTGGTCCGTGCGCAAAGCATTGTGGGGATTTTAAGACCGCGGAGTCTACACATGTGCAGCCTCGAAATTTCTCGCTAAAAAGTACGCCGGCCTCGGTAGAATTCCAAGTATGCTGGACATTTGAACAGTCCTTCGGCGGCACTCGATGACGTAGTATGCTTGAAATAGTGGCTCTGTAGTAGCAGCCTTCCTCGACATTGAGAAACACCCAGTGTAACATTTGTAAACATATATTTTGATTATTAAAACATAAAAAAAAAAAGAAGAAATTAAACAATACATTTTAAAGCACGTGTATACAGACAGGACGTCACAATTAAATAAAAACATATATTACTGTAAATAAAAAAATAACTGAAAAAGAAGTGACGAATGAATGCAAAATCCAGGATTCAACACCCCATGTTTCAATATGTGTTGTGTGCTATAATCAGTGGCGTTTTTATATGTACAAAAGTGGTGGGGCACAAAAAACTTAGATGTCTATATATAAGCTTCTGCAGTGACGTGCAGTGAGGTTCATGGCTGCAGAGGCACTGGCACTGACTCTTCAGGTTTACAAATATTATATTTTGACCTAAACCAAAATATAATATTATTTTCAAAAGCTTTTTTTGTCTGATGCTTCGATTAATTTCAAACAGACAGTTCAACAAAAGGATACCCAAAAAATGTAATTTTATCATTTAAATATTGAATTGTTCTCTCTTAGTAAGATCCCATTTTCAATAAAATGGCGGTCTTACCTTGACTTGAAGATGAAGTCCATTTGCCTATCCTTCTGGACAAACATTTCTATTACTTTTTTGTAAAAGTCCTCCTTATGTTCTTGTAGTTTCAAAAGTCTATCATAAATCTAATCCATAGATTTATGATAAAAAAATTATAAAAGTAGGGTAGACATGTGGATATTATCCGGCTGAACAAAACGTGCATTTATCTAACAGGTACGTTTCCCACAGATCTTATTTCGAGCTATTTTCTAAAATCCTCTGGAGAAATCTCATTGCTTTTTTGTGCTTACTTCCTGGTTTTAGGACGCGCCACTGCAGCTCTCTCGTCTCCTCTTCAAGCACCACACTTTTCGCGGCACACGTACTTACAGCCAATCAGCTCTGAATGATTTGAGATGACGTATGGTGGGGATGGTAGCTCCGTGCCCCTCTGGTCATTATTTTTTTGCCACACACATTACATTACAAAATACTCTGAGCATGCGCAGTGAAGTTTTTACAGTCACCGTTGACTTCACAGCGAGAGGAAGGGGCATAATCAGGTTTTGTCCCACATGGCTCTAAACAGCTCAATAGGCACACACTGTGACTGTAGACACACTAATTAGAAGAACACAGACTAAAACAGCAATGTACAGACGAATCAGATGATTAAACATGATCTTAAAATATATTTTATATTTTTTTTTATTTTTTTTTTTTGCATTTTTGTAATCATTATTTGTAATACTTTCTGCTGACACTAGGTGGGGCTGTGCCCCACCTGCCCCTAATGACCAGTCGCCACTGGCTATAATGATAATAACGACACACTCTATCTTACTCTCACATACTTTACTTGTAATGTTCCACAAGATACAATGCAACATCCTAGCCGTGCTAACTTCAGAACTGACGCTCATGCCTGGTCCCTCGGCTGATGTCGTCCCCTCGGGCCACCTGTGCGTCAACAAATAATGTCCCCCTGACCAACGTATATTGCAACAACCCAACCATCAAAAATACGGAGCGAAAAGTTTAACCACAAGAATCAAGACTATATGAGCTACCACTAAACGACTCACAGTCTGAAAATTACCATTAAAAAAACCCTGGACGTTTACTTTTCGTTTTAAGCATTGTTTTAAGGTGTAAACGTTTCATTTTCAAATGCGCATTCCCGTGACAAGGGGTGCATTTCACGCCGGGGCACCGCCCTTAAATGTTTATGTTTTTAAACGGCATCATTGAAGTTGTGCTGACAGGCGACAGAGGTCCACCGTTTCCCCGCAGCGAGGCTCCCCCCACGTTGACAGCTCACTAGCACCCCCCCCGTTGACAATTCACTACCACCCCCCCCTTCAAATAATGTACAGTATGCACTGCCATTTCCCCACGTAAACATAACAGTCTGCAATGAAATGGTGTCTCCTGTGTGCTCCACTTCCTCCTTGGCGCAGCGGTAACTTTCTCCAAAAAAAAAAAAAAAAAAATCGGGATATCGGGTTAGTTTCTCATGCACATGAGATACTTTCTCGTGCTCACAAGATACTTTCTCGTGCGCACGAGAAACTGACCCGTTATCCCGACTTTTTTTTTTCTCTCTTTTTTTTCTTTCCCATGTCCCTTTGCTCCGTACTATACTAATTAAACAGCTTAAAGGTGGGGTAGGTAATTTTGGAGAAACCAGCTCGAGATCGCTAGAATTTGAAAATACACTGCTGGAAAAAATCTGCCACTTCCTTACAGAGCCCCTCCTCCAACACACACGAACGCGCACATGACCAATGAGGGCACGAGATAAGTTTGTGCACAGATGGAAAGCTGACAGGCAGGTAGGCCATCCAGTTATTTTAGCCGGGCCGGGTAAAATAATTGGTCGTGCTTTTTACAGTACTACGGCTTCCACAGATTACATTTTTTTATGGATTTTTTGTCAAAGCACTTAAGATATTCATTGCTATCGGGATGTTAAGAGCATTCCATGGAATATAACAAAAAGTGTATCTCGAGCCGGTTTCTCAAACTTACCTACCCCACCTTTAAATAGTATTATTTCATTGTTCATTTCAGTCTGTAACACATACAATAAAAGGTAATACATGTTTGTTTATGTATATTATCGCATGTGTACCATTTCTGTTTACATAATGTATATCAATGAGAATTAGCATTGGGACATGTTTGATGCTCTGATCTTAATGCAGTTTTCAGAGAACATATGTCTTTAGAAAAAATGTACACACACATTGAAGAAGAGCTTGGTATTACACTGAATTAGATGAGGCTAACCCATGTTACACATTCCCTCCCCCAGGTTATCATGCAGGATAACAGGAATGGGAAGATTCCATTCCCTCCACCCATCAGCAGAGACAGGGTCATCTGGGAATTTCCAAAGGTACGTCCTGTTTTCTCCAAGGAGACAATGGTCTGATCCAATTCAATCATGGGCAAAGGAAACCCCCTTCTTTTAAATTAGATCACTGGTTAGAATCGTAGAAGCGGGGGTCTAGAAGATGTTTGTTTAATTGGAAACGTGTGACTTCTTCTAACTGACTTTCTTAGCCAGGGAAATCAGTGTCAGATACTTGCACTCAGGTTCATTATGGGCTGTTGAAGTCAGCTACCCAATCACAGACTCAGTCCAAATATCCTTCTTCCCTCAACATCTTTATTTGGAGAGGAATCTATAATATTTAACAACTTATTCTAATGGGGCCAGTTGCAGGTTATCTCTGCAACTGCCCTAATCCTTGTTTCCCTCAGAATTTACAATATTATAGAATGCATGCCAGTACCAGAATGCACCTAAGGATCTTAAAATGTGTTTTTAAGAATCAATGTCAAATGATTTTGGTTTAAATGTGATAAATCATCATACATTCTGTGTTCTCCATTTGTGTTGATGCCATTAAGGCATTGGAAAGGTCTTGTGTTCAATGTAAGATGCTGAATATTGAGAGCACAAGGTTCTAATAGTAGGAAATCAATGTGCTTGACCCAGTTTCTACATAAGTTAGTTTGCAGACATCACACACAAACAAGATAGAGGCTGTAGGTCTGATGTTGCATTACCACAGAGTCCAGTTGAGTAGCTCAGTAAAGCAGACATCCGCCCCCTGTATTCTATCCCAGTTAATAACTATGTGGCATTTCCATTGGTGGGACTTATAACAGCCGACTTGAGGAATATCTCTAACAGTGATTGGATTATTAAAGTTTGAACCTACAATCATTTCATGGTCCCAAGCAGATGAGAATTGACCTTTTCTGTAGTGCCATCATCATTTTCAATTGCCTCAGTGAAATTTAACCTACAGTATCACATGGATTTCCATAAATGTTGGTAGTGGTACAATTGTCCTGCTTTGATGACTTTTCATCTTCTGCAATCATCAAATGTAACGTCTACCTAATGAATTGATAACACATATTATACAGGCATTCATGGGTTCCATACAATGTATCCTAAAGACTTGGGTGATCCTTTTTGTGAGGGAAACTTCTGAAGCAATTGGAAGCAGGACTCAGAGAGACACGAGGAGAGCTGGAGCTTTGATGGCAAACACCTGACGGTTTATTTGGAGCTTCGGCCGGAGAATTCACAAGACATGTCATGAGCCAAGAGTTGACACAGGTTGAGATGCCAAATCAATTCTGAAGAACTCTTCTGTAGTTCGAGGTTTTAATTAGTTCGGAGTGTAATAATCAACATTCTTCATCAGTGAGACTAAAGAAATATGGACCCTGAATCTAACTAGAGCTGTCGTCCATAGAAAATAATGTGCGCCAGGGAACCTACGTTCCTAAAAATAAGGGCTTCTAGATGTCCCTGAACATAAACTATCTCATGTCAGCTTGTGCTCGGTCATAAGCTGGCAACAACAATGCGCCCAAGCTGCCCCTCCTTAAGAGAGATAGCAGCAATACCCGAAGGCCGTAGACCTATGCCATGGGAAAGGAGACAGTGAAAGGAGAACATTATGAACTGTGTCAAAGGTTGAACACCTAAGCAAATGATTCCCTAACACTTTTGACTTTCTGTAGTGCCACTGTTAGGGTTACAGTGCATTCATGGTTTTGATTGAAATGTCTCAACAACCTATCAATGGATTTCCCTGACGTGTGGTACAAAAACGAGTGTCCCACTCGAGATGAACTGAGTTGAATGAGATCCGTTCACTTTTTATTTAGCATCATCATCACATACATTGTTTAGTTTGGCTAATGCGTTATTATTAAATGTTAGGAATCTAACCACTAAACATTGTAAACATAATACTAACCATCTGCATGTTAGCATTAACATTGTTAGCATGTTAGCATTTAACTCAAAGCACTGCTTGGCGTAAGTACAGCCTTTCAGAATCTCTGTCTGTGGACTAAAGGCCCTGACACACCAGGCCGAAATCGGCCGTTTTCGTTAGTCGGACGACGAAGCGTGCCGTGACACGCCTTATTTGGCCTTTCATGGCTGACGCACGGCCGATTCAACATGTTGAATCGGCCGTGCGTCGGCCACAGGCAGTCGGACAAAGAAATCACTCTGATTGGCTGTTCAGCTAGCGAATCAGTGCATGAGAAGCGAAACGGTTGCTTGAGAGTGGGTGTTTCTCAATCGCGAGTATGCTTGCTTGGTAGCACATGTCTTCCGAGTCACTTGCTTCAGAAGCGAGGCAAGAATACTTCCTGGCATTCGGAAAACAACGAGTGGAACAGGCTAGCAAGTGTGCAGGTGTGCGTCATATGAGAGGCCCCGCTTTACATTTTCCGCCACAGATTTGGGGAAATTGGTCCGTGCGCAAAGCATTGTGGGGATTTTAAGGACGCGAAGTCTACCCATGTGCAGCCTCGAAATTTCCCCCAAACCAAGGACGCGGCCTCGGTGGAATTCCAAGTATGCTGGACATTGGAACGGTCCTGCTGCGCCACTTGATGACGTAGCATCCTTGAAATATTGGCTTGGAAGCCAATATCCTCGCGATTGAGAAACGGCCAGTGTCTTCCACAAGCAACACTCCAATGGCTGATAGGCCCAGTACCGCACGAAACATGTTTTCGATGGACGAGAGTGAAAATGGAACGCACACGCTATTTGTTGTTTGTTTATATCAGTCTGTTCTTCTTCTCTGTCTTCCGGTTATTGCCTATTTTGAATGACGAATACACACTACCGCCACCTGCTGGTAAGGAGAGTTATTGCCACTCACGCATGCGCAGTTCGTACGTGCTCGGCTGAAGTCTTTGCGGTGTGTTCCAGTGCGACACATGGCCAAGACGCAGGAGAACACGGCGACGCAACAGTCGGCGTCGGCGTCGGCGAGTTCTCTGGTGACTGTCAGGGCCTTAATGGCAAATAAATGTAAGTAATGTATGTTCTTGTTGTTTTTTAGTGCTACACACGTAACGCGGCTCTGCAGCTGAAGAAAGACTGGGACATTCAGGCTAAAGCAGCCTGTAAAGACGGAGCCACCAGTCGTCAGCCGTGAGTCTCCTGATTTGTGTCAATGCCTTATAGATTAACATCAAATGAAAAGCTTTAACATCTCACTGTCATGTTGACTTCTTTGAAGATGGGACCGCCAGAAAATGTCAAAAGTGGTGGTTGTTGGAGACCTGAATGTGGGGAAGACCTGCCTCATTAATAGGTACAAACAACTCAACAATTAGCCAATTACGATGGAACCTATTTAACTGTGATCACAATATATGGCGAGTGACCTCTTCAAGTAAATCATGAGTACCTGTGATCCTTTATCACAGGTTGCATCTGTCTATTGGTAGTGGCCAGTTCCTGAATATTGTTTAATCGGATACTGTTAAGAGTTTAAAGATGTAAATAGTATCCAGGTATCTACAATTGAAAAGGATTGACCAGAAAGATATCGTATTAATTTAGTGATGCACTTCGCCGTGCTGCTAACCATCTTAAAGACAATCAGATTTATCCTGACTGGAAAAGGTTGGAAACCCAGTTCATACATTAACCTTAGAACATGTTTCTTGACTATATAGTATGAACACATCAGTCTTTTGTAACCAACTGATTCCACCTAAAAGCAGGTTAGGGATTTAGTACTAAAAAAGCAGAATAATTATAGACAAATCTGGTTTGACACTATTCTATTGAGAGTGTAGTTCTGAACACCACAAAAATAAATATGCCTTTTTCAGGTTCTGTAAGGATGTATTTGAAAGAGACTACAAGGCCACCATAGGTGTTGACTTTGAGATTGAGAGGTTTGAGATATCCGGAGTGCCTTTCTCCCTTCAGATGTGAGTAGTTTGATTTGATATTCTGCATACATGTACAGTACCTTCTGAGTACTTTTCTTTTTAGTTTTTTGCCATTCTTAAGTACTTTCTTTCCGTTAGCTGGGATACTGCTGGGCAGGAAAAATTCAAGTGCATCGCTACTGCATACTACAGAGGAGCTCAGGGTAAGATCGTTTTTTATTGTGGATCTGATGCTAGGTGAGACCAGTTTACATATTAGCTAGTGTAAACTAATAATGCTGACACTTTTTGTTAATCTTTTCCAGTCATTATCACAGTCTTTGACATGGCAGACATTAAGTCCCTCGATCATACAAGGTAGGTCTGACACAACCTTATCATTGGGATAATTCAACAATGTGCCCTTACCTACAGTACAATGGTGTTTTCTTTAGACACATACAACATCAGATAATTAATGGCAAAGCTACCACTGAGTCAGCAGCCAGTAATATCTAATTGTAAAGACATCTCTGTCACAAAATAACAGCCAGCAATTGTTGCCACACACTGGGATGTAGTAACTTAAAGTAAATGTTAAACAAAAAAAGTGACGATGTATCACCATAGCGTATCTGTCAATAATGATAGCTATCTATCATTCCATTAGTTTATTTCCCGGAATTAAGTATCTAGATGTAACATTTATTGTCTAAGTCATAGTCTTGGCAATTTAGACTCAATAGGCATTTTGGTGGTGATTTAGAGATCTGGAACCAGAATGATCTAAAGCATATACCAAATCTCTAATATACATCCATACATCCATTATCTGTAAGTGCTTATCCTTTACAGGGTCACAGGATTCTGTATAGTATAGAGTCAAATTCAAATACTACATAAAACTGGAAGGGCATGTTTCACATTGAAATAATGTAAGAACTTTGTTTTGTTTTTATAGCCAATGGTTGGAGGAGGCCATGAGAGAAAATGAACCTGACTCCTGTTTCATCTTCTTGGTTGGCACTAAGAGTGACCTAATGGTGAACATATTTGTATTTGATTATATATGTTTACTATGCACACAACCCATTGTTCTTCTTTTACCCAACCCTCTCCTTCTTTAGCCTTTAGAAGAAAGACAGCGAACAGAAAAAGATGCCATCAGGATAGCAACAGAAATGCATGCAGAGTTTTGGGCTGTTTCGTCTAAAACAGGTCAAACCAAGAGCTTATACTTGTCGCTGCTATATAGTACATTGGGAAAACAAGCATACAAATAGTATTGTCTTTGCAGAGCGCCACTGTAAGAAAGTATACCTTTTTCTTTATTTTCAGGGGAGAACGTGCAGGGTTTTTTCTTCAGGGTGGCAGCCTTGGCCTTTGAGAAGTGCATGCTGAAGGACATGGAGAATGGAGCCCCTGGTAGCATCGGATGTGGAAATAGTATCAGTAAGAAATAACATAGCTCCTAATAAGCAGAGATGTTGATAATGAAAGCATTGAGGCTAATTTAATGTACCCTTAATCTTTGTGTTGACAGAATCAGATCGGGCCAACCTGGAGGAGGCGGCGCAGCAAGACACAAAGAGAAGCTGCTGCTGATGTTCCATTTAAATCTTTTAAACTGCCATATATTCTGATTGCAAAAGGTTCAACCGGTATGAGCTCCTGGAAGCCGATTGTTATTGATTGAAAGGGTCACTGTTTGCTGAAACTAAATTAAATGAATTTGACATTTGTTATGGGATAGTTGTCAGTATTTCATCCAGAATGTTCTAACATAAAACATTAAAGAAGGCTAATAACAAATCAAATCAGCGTCTCAAATTAATCGTTTTAGTTTACGGTCTTCCCATGTAGTATTGGTTTTTTTTTTGCTTGAGAATTTCTTTGCTACTGTCATAGTGTTGTTTTTTTTATACAGTATTGTGGTGGAATATGTGTCACCTCTTACTGTGGGTGATAAAGGTTTATTTAAAGTGTGTTTACTTTTATCTAATGAAAGTGTAAACAGTATTTTTGTCAACTAATAAAGTGGTTTATCAGCTGTCTGAAGTGTTCTGTCATGATTATATTAAAATGATGTCAGGCTATGCAAGATTTACACGCAACATTCATAATGTATTCCTTAATGATTAGGACTTTCTTATCCCCTGTAAAACACCAAATGCTTATGCTTGCCTTTATTAATTAGATAGTCCTTATATGTAAACAAAGATGAATGAAGTAACATGCATCACATCATAGTTGTATGACCTTTCAATTGGATCATGCAGATTTGTTTGATGTATACGTACATATTATTAAGGAAAAGGTCTTGTATGTTTGGAATTTGGGTGAATTCATGGACATAAAGGGGTCAACCGTAAAAGACATACTTTTTAATCTTAGTAAAAAAAGCGGAGTGAGCCCTCTTGCTTCACTAAATACTCTCTGACCCGCGGCTAACCAATCACATCTCGCATGTCCATGTTTTGGAGGAAGTGCGACCAGTGAGAGCTAGCTAGTTAGTTAGCTGATTTCTAATTCCAAGTTAAAAACGTACTTGCAAGTTAAAGTTATTTTAACGTTGGTGCTAATGTTAGTTTATAATAGTTCAGTCGCTGTAGGGCTTCTCAAATGAGACACGTGCTAAGCTAGCATATGTCAACATCCCAGGGCAGGTTGTGCTGCTAAAGGAGTTCGAGTTGTTGAGAAGAGCCTGCTGAGGTACTTATATATTGGTACTGATGTATTCTATACGTTCACTTGTTCTTACCTATCTACGTTAATGTTTTATTGAATACTCCAATAAGTCATAGTAATACAAAAATACCTCTTGAATGCATTGTAGTTTAGTGATATGGAATACAAATACTCATGTGTTATTGCCTGCAACTGTAAGAAGTCACATACAACTTAATATGTTGATCTCCAGCTGGTTCATTATGAAGACCAACAAATCATATAAGCTTGTGCTGCACAAGAAAGGCTTTGGTGGTAGTGGTAAGCAATCACCTCCAATTCATACATTCAAAATAAATGATTCTCTTGTGAAAAATGTGATTTCTATCAAATTGTTTTACAAATGAACTTTTCCTTTGAACAGATGATGAGTTGGTTGTCAACCCAAAGGTTTTCCCTCAAGTCAGTCTGAGGGATATCATTGAGATTGCACACCCTACAGATGAGTACAGGTGAGACTGCACAATGAGACGATTGCTGTGGAATGTTCCTCTTTATATTGTTACACTTCTGACTTTATAATCTGGTCATGTCTCTTTTTTATTCCCAGTCCTCTTCTGCTTCAGGTGAAGAGCCTAAAAGAGGACCTCCAGAAAGGTACATTAATTATGATCAAACATTTGAATGTATAAATGTTTGCTATATCTCAAAAATAAAAGGATCGAATACTTTGATATTATTGAATTACGTATTTTTTCAAGCAGAAATGCATAACATAACCTAGTTCCTGTTTCAAAATAAAAAATCGATATATATTTCTTCCTTTTTCTTAATAGGTAAACCTAATCAGCAGTAAATCTGATTCTGAAGCTGATATTGATTCTAAATGAATACATATATATTGATTGTAAATGTTCTTTATAATCAGTACATACACTATAAAATGCAAATGTTTGTGACGGTTGACTTACCTGTTCATAACCAATGATTGTTATCTAGTTCTTATTCAATAATTAGAACTGCTTTATTCTTATGGAATATGTCTCGACCATTATTGTAGGTGTTACAAGTCTATTTAAAGTTAAGAGGGTAGATGTTTGGAGCAAGAAAACCAAATGTTGGTTTACTTTGAATTTATACGTGTTATTCAACAGATGAAATAGTGATAACATTATAGTAATAACATGTCATTTCTTAAACTAATATCTTGATTTATTGTGTTCCTATCCAGAGACCATTAGTGTGGATCAGACTGTAGCACAAGCCTTCAAGCTGCGTGCTTACCAGGATGTCATTGTTAACATTGTGGACCCAAAGGTATGTTCACTGCGACCTATCTGTGTCCCCACACTCTGTCAGCGAACAGAATCTCTCATAGTTTCGCTTTCTCCTGCAGGATGTAACACTGGACCTGGTGGAGCTGACCTTCAAGGACCAGTACATCGGCAGAGGAGACATGTGGAGGCTGAAGAAGAGTCTGGTGGGACATGAGAAGGATCATATCTGGATACAATGTGAAAAGGAAAAGTTATGTGAGGTTTTAACATGTATCATTTGGATTCCAGGTGAGCACATGTGCTTATGTGACGCAGAAAGTGGAGTTTGCTGGAATCAGGTACTGATCATTAATTGTATTCTCTACACTCTATTTACAAAGGCATGCAGGGTGACATTACATTCAAAGTAAAAGAACATTTACATACCTCTTTCTTTTGCTTTTGCTTTTCATTGATTTGGTATTGTATTTTCTTTTCACTCTCAAAATGTGTGTATATATATGTGTATGTGCTGTATATATGTGTATTTATATACTGTACAGACACACATGGAATCCCACGTCCTAAGTTTGCAGTTAAAATGCCTTAATATTTGGGTCCCTGACCAGAAACTTTGAAACCGAATGACTAACAGGAGGGATTCTTTCTTTACAAGTTATGCTTTCTGCCCTCCGGCTTCTTCGAATCATGTTTTCGGTTGTCTGTTTTATTAATCATCTGTATTAATATTGCATTGAATTAGTAGAAGGGCAATAACACATAGAGGCTTTATAAGACAGTTGTTTTTTGTTTGATTTGATCTCAGCTGTCCCTTGCTTTGTTTTCTTTATATGCAATGGTGATGGTGACTGTATAATGTGTACATGCAAGCTCATGCTGTTTTCATTGTGCAGAGCCCAGGCCAGTGAACTGTGGGTGAAGGGAGAGAAAGTGACCTGTGGGTACATCAGTGAAGACACTAGGGTAAGAGCAGTTTGAAAACAGATATTTACCAACAGCACAACAATACTTGAAGTAATCCCAATCTAAATTTAACACAAAAAGTAAGGAAATGTGTGTTTGGTAAATTATTTCTTTGTTTGAACAACTTATACCATTGGAAAGCCAGGATAATTACCTTTCAAATGGTGCCACATTTGTGAGGAACATGCATCAGTGGGATGAGCAGCAGAGCTGAGAATGTGGGTTGCGGCAATGAACATTTGACAAATCTCCTCTATCAATGCCAGCTTGTTTACCTGCTGACTCTCTTTTGGTTGGGTTTGGTGGATTGGATGATTGAAGTCTGATGAAAACAACCAAACACAGCCACAACAGCCTCTCCTCCTCATGCTGGTCACCAGCCTGCTCACACTCTGCTGTGGGATGGCATCCCATTCTTCAATCAGCATTTGTCCTATGTCAGCCAACGTGGTTGTGTAGGTCACTCTGACAGCAAGCTGATCCCACAAGTGTTCAATGGGGTTGAGGTCGGGACTGCAGGCAGGCCATTCCATCCCCATCACTCCAAAATTCTGGAGGAAGTCTCTGAAAATCTTCGCTCTGTGGGGTTGAGCGTTGTCATCTTGGAGAATGGAGTTTGGTCCCAGACTGTTGAGATATGGGATTGTCACCTCAATATCTCTCTGCATTGAGATTGCCTCCAATGCTGAGAAGCCTGGTTTTTCCAGTGAGGGAGATGCCGCCCCCCACCATCACACTGCCTCCAACTAAATATTTTACTCGTTCGGTGCAGCAATCAGCAAAGCGCTCTCTGCGTCTTCTCTACACTGTGACCCTATGATCCATGTGCTGTAGGCAGAATCTGGACTCATCGCTGAACATAATGTTCCTCCACATGTTGAGGTTCTAGTGCAAGTTGGCCTGAAGGTGAAGGGCAGGCTCCTGGCAGCCGTACGAGACCGGAGAGTGGCTGCTGTTTGGCATTGGAAGAGGAGATTTGTCACATTTTTCATGGGCGCAACCCACATACTCAGCTCTGCTGCTCATCCCACTGATGCATGTTCCTCACAAATGTGGCACCATTTGAAAGAACTTTCCAACGGTATAAGATTTATGGCCAAGAAGCATTGTTACAACAAAGAAATAAGGTGTAGTCAGTAGAGTGCCGATCTTGCCAGGTGTCTCCCCCTCCTCCCAAACAAAGAAGAGTTAAATCTGACTAAATTGTCCGTCCTGTCTCCCTTGAAGTCAACATGGTGGGAAATAAAACAGATTTTTTCATGTTCTCTCATACCTTACTTTTGTGGATCGTAACAAATCAGGTTGTTGTTTCCATTCAAAATGAGAGCTAACTCTATTGGTGTAATTTGTTTAGCCACGTCAAAGGCCAACTTTAACCTGTAACACACAGGGAAGGCTTGCTTTTAGCCAGCGGAGTGCTGGAAATGCCACTAAGCAATTGTTGATTGTTGCCCCTGCAGGCTGGTTAGGAGGAGTGAGTGAGCATTCAAAGATATTATTAAACAGTCAATTACATGTTTTCACCAATTGTAATTCACAGCAAACACTGATCAATAGTCTGATGGGTCCAGTGGTATGCATGATCCGCTGTGGACAGAAAAACATGTATAAACACCGGCTTACGCCTGGTGGAGATGATGAAGACAATAAATACACACAAATAGTCAGTCAAATGTGCTTACTAAGCTTCAAAAACATTAGTCACATCAAATAGACAGGTTAGAGTTAGAAATAAAACAAGAGGTAATAATGTAATATGTAATAATGATACATAATTATATGGTCAAGCAGTATTTCACTTTTTTGCACCACAACTTATGGTGCAATTTAACACATTATGAGAGTGTTGGCAGAAGTGATGCTGGAAATACGTTTGTTTGAAATTCATGTTTCCTTTGACCGCAGGTACACCACAAAAGTTTTGATGACTTACTGATTGAAGGATAATATGTTACAACACATAGAAACTGACTTCCTTAAGCTTTAGAGCTGTTGAATATTCACTGCAGTGTTTATTTATTTGAGTCATCACTCACTTGATCTTGTGACCCAGGTGGTGTTCCGCTCCACGTCTGCCATGGTGTACATCTTCATCCAGATGAGCTGTGAGATGTGGGACTTTGACATCTATGGTTAGTT